GCACCCGTACCCAATCCACCGGGTGAGCATGGGACAGGCCCCGGGGGACAATCGCCACATCATCCCCATTGAGGTGGGGGGAAGACGTGTCCAGGGGTTCTGGGACACGGGCGCAGAGGTGACGCTGGCGCGGTCCGAGGTGGTGGACCCAGACCAGCTAGTGCCCGATGCCTACCTGACCCTGAGGGGAGTGTTTGGGCCCCCCGTCAAGGTGCCTGTAGCGAGGATACACCTGAAATGGGGGGCTAAGGAGGGACCCAGAGAGGTTGGGGTGCACGACCACCTGCCTACCGAGGTGCTAATGGGTAATGACTTGGAGAACTGGCCGGATGACACTCATAGTGCCTTGGTCCTTACCCGGAGCCAGAGCCAGCGAGGGGCGCGGGACCTCCCGAGGGGGGGGCGCTGAAGCGCCAAGGGTAGGGCTCGACAGGGCTGGGCCGGAGCCTCCGTCCCAGGGTGGGGAAACTGAGGCGCCACCAGCCAGGGCTGTAGCATCAGACCCAGCAGCTGAATTCCAAACAGAGCTGCAGGTGGATCCCTCCCTGGAGAAACTAAGGGCCCTGGCTAGCCACAACAGTGCAGGATCCCAGGGGGAGGACTGACGGGGAGAGGGGATTCCTGTACCGGGAATGGACTGGTTCAAGGTGAACTGAATCTTGGAAAGTCGGGAGGCAGCTGGTGGTTCCCCAGAGGTTCCGCCGCAAACTGTTGTTCTTGGCCCACGATATCCCCCTTTCGGGGCATCAGGGCATCTGGCGCACCAGGCAGAGGCTGCTGCAGAACTTTTACTGGCCTGGGGTCTTTGACGCTATCCGACAGTATTGCAGGACCTGTGACTCCTGCCAGAGGGTGGGGAAGGCCCGGGATAAGTGTAAAGCCCCGCTGAGACCTTTGCCTATCATAGAGGAGCCTTTCCAGAAGGGGGCCACGGACATAGTGGAGCCCCTCAGCAGGGTGACCCGGTCAGGGAAGAAATACATCCTGGTGGTGGTAGATTTTGCTACGCGCTACCCCGAGGCGGTGGCCTTGTCCTCTATCGAGGCAGACACCGTGGCAGACGCGCTGCTGACCATCTTCAGCAGAGTGGGGTTCCCCAAGGAGGTCCTTACAGACCAGGGGTCTAACTTCATGTCGACCCTGCTCCAGTGCTTGTGGGAGAAGTGTGGGGTCCGACACACCTGGGCCTCAGCCTACCACCCTCAGTCCAACGGGCTAGTGGAGAGGTTCAATGGGACCCTAAAGAGGATGCTGAAAACCTTTATGGACCAGCACCTGCAGGACTGGGACAAGTATTTACCCCACCTGCTGTTCGCATATAGGGAAGTGCCCCAGGAATCCACAGGGTTCTCCCCGTTCGAGTTGCTGTACGGAAGGAGGGTGAGGGGTCCCCTGGACTTCATGAGAGCCGAGTGGGAGGGAAAGGCCTCTCCCGATGGGGAATCAGTGGTAGAGTATGTACTGACTTTCCGGGAAAAGCTCGTGGAGCTCATGGGCTTGGCTAGGGGAAACCTAGCAAGGGCCCAGAGGAAGCAGAAGGTCTGGTACGACCGCTCAGCCCGTGCCCGCTCACATGCTACCGGGGACCAGGTGATTCTCCTCATCCCCTTGAGGAAGAACAAGCTGCAAGCGGCCTGGGACGGCCCCTTCACGGTCATCAGACAAATAAACGAGGTGAACTATGTGGTGGAACTGTCCAACCGGGCTCACAGCCACCGGGTGTATCACGTCAACATGATGAAGCCGTACTGGGACAGGGAGAAGTTGGTGCTGGCTGTGTGTGGGCAGTGGGAGGAGAAAGGAGAGGAGTCCCACCAGGGGGTCCCCCTGGTGGGACTCCTCCCTGAGGCTGGGGCTAACCCCTCACTAGAATCATTTCCCCTCTCAGACCAGCTAACCTGGCCCAGCAGGCAGAGATCAGAGCCGTGCTGCATTCATATCGGCAGCTGTTCTCCAGCCGGCCTGGGCTTACTAACCTGGCTGTCCACTGGGTGGAGACGGGAACCAACCCTCCCATCAGGTGTTCCCCATTCACAGTCACTGGAAAAACAGCCCAGGACCTGGAGAGAGAGGTCAGGGACATGCTGGCTTTAGGGGTGATCCAGCCGTCCACCAGTCCCTGGGCCTCACCCGTGGTGCTGGTCCCCAAGAAGGACGTGTCGATCCGGTTCTGTGTGGACTATCGGAAGCTCAATGCCATTACCGTGTCCGACGCCTACCCCATGCCCAGGACTGATGAAATCTTAGACAAGTTGGGGGGTGCCCGGTACCTCACTACCATGGATCTTACCAAAGGCTACTGGCAGGTGCCTTTGGACCCAGAGGCCAGGGCGAAGTCCGCCTTCACCACATCAATACGGCTCTTTGAGTTCCTGGTCCTGCTTTTCGGCCTCAAGGGGGCACCTGCCACCTTCCAGCGCCTGGTGGATCAGTTACTAAGGGGGATGGAGGGCTTTGCATTAGCGTATATTGACGATATCTGTGTCTTTAGCCAGACCTGGGAGGAACATGTGTCCCAAGTGAAGAGGGTGCTGGGTCGCCTCCAGGATGCAGGACTGACCATAAAAGCTGGAAAGTGCAAGGTGGGGATGGCAGAGGTTTTATACCTGGGCCACAAGGTTGGGAGTGGCCACCTGAAGCCGAAGCCGGCCAAAGTGGAGGCAATCAGGGCCTGGCCTGCCCCCCAGACTAAGAAGCAGGTCCAGGCTTTCACTGGGATGGCAGGGTACTACCGGAGGTTTGTGCCCCACTTTAGCTCCCTGGCAGCTCCCCTCACAGAGCTGTGTAGGGAGGTAAAGCCGGACAAGGTGGTCTGGACCGAGCAGTGCCAGAGGGCTCTCTGTGCGCTGAAGGGGGCACTTATCCAGGGCCCGGTGCTGGTAAACCCGGATTTTAACAAACCCTTCCTGGTGTTCACCAACACCTCAGACACAGGGCGGGTGCGGTGCTGATGCAGACTGATACTAAGGGGGAGAGACACCCCATTGTGTACCTGAGCAAGAAGCTGCTGCCCCGGGAGCAGAACTACGTGGCCATCGAGAAGCAATGCCTGGCCATGGGGTGGGCCCTTAAAAATCTGCAGCCGTATCTATTTGGGCGACACTTCACCGTGTACACCGACCATTCGCCCCTGACGGGGCTGCACCAAATGAAAGGGGCTAATGCCAAGCGCTGAGTTGGGCCCTGCTCCTCCAGGGTTATGACATGGCGGTGGTCCATGTGAGGGGGAGTGCCAATGTTATAGCGGATGCTTTATCGCGGGGGGGGGACCCTGAACTTCCCCAGGTCACTGGCTAAGTGACCCTGCTCCGTTCAGCCTCGAAGGGGGGAGAGAGGTGACGAAGTGGGGGGTTTTCTTGTTTTCTGTGGGGTTTCAATGGTTTGCATGCGGAGGGGGTGGGACTCAGTTTCCCTGGGTGTTACTGGTTTAACGCGGTGAGGGGAGAGGGAGTGTGTTTTGCAGAGGACCGGACAGAGGACTCGGGGACCCAGCCGATGGCCGGGAGGATGGATACCCCAGCGACCGGTGACCTGGCGACCTGGTGACCCGGAGGCCCAGCTCAGGAGTCGCAGCCGGTTCTGGCCAGTGGGAGGACAATGGGCTGCAGAGTGAGGACCCAGTGACCTAACCAGCCGGTTCCAGCCAGAGGACAGAAGAGTGGAGAGGAGGCCCCGGTTTACGACCCTGTTTACCTGGAGAGAAGACAATGGACAGAGGCGGGGCCTGGGGCCGGGGATCTCAGATGCCCAGCTGTGAGCAGGGGGGCTCTGGGCTGGTGAGGGGAAGCAGGCAGAGCCCCCCTGGATGCAGAGAGACTGGGATGTGCTGTGCTGAGGGAGGCCAGGCCTGAGGCCCTGAGAGTTTCCTGTGCTGTGTTCAACTCTCAATAAACCCTCCTGTTTCATGCTGGCTGAGGGTCACTCCGGTCTAGAGAACAGGGTTGCATCAACCCCTTCGGGGGTGGAGGCCCCGGGGGTCCAGAGAGAGTGGACTCCCTGAGCGGGCCCACAGCAGAGACAGACGTGCTAAGGCTCAGAGAGGTGCAGCTCCAGGAGGTGGAGGGGCCTGACCCCGAGAGAGAGTGGACCCCCGAGAAGGGCTGTCTCACTAAAAGGGGCACCCCCCACGGACCGCACGGGGCCAAGAGTGGGCATGATCTGTGAGTCCGTGACAATGCCCCATCATCTCGGGCATTGGCATTCTCACTGAAGGACTGTCTGGATATGTGGACTCCCTACTCAGACCCTACGCCACCAGCACTCCCAGCTATCTCCGTGACACCACAGATTTCCTGAGAAAACTGCAATGCGTTGGTGACCTCCCAGAAAACACCATCCTAGCCACCATGGATGTAGAGGCTCTCTACACAAACATTCCTCTGTTAGTCTTAAAGGTGCCACAGGACCCTCTGTTGCTTTTTACAGATTCAGACTAACACGGCTACCCCTCTTATACTTTATACGTATGGGATACCTTTTAGCAGTATTTTCAACAATCACAGTGCACAGCGACACTACCTGAGAAGGAGGTTGTCCGGGCACCTCTACTCTCATGCTCCAGGGCGCACGCTGGGCCCAGGTGGATCAGGAAGGAATCTCTGCCCCGCTCGATGGGAGAGGGTCGCTCCAAGGGGGGCACTTTGTGTGTGCGAGGTGCCCTACTCTGCTCTGAGCTGCTGCTCCAGGGAGGCTAGATGGACCTGTTGGAAAAGCTCAGGGCAGCCTGGGCACCTCTTGGCAACTACTGAGATTCCCCCTGTTCCCAGCTGGTCCCTGAACTGGGCAGCTCCTATGTGGGGCTGGGAGATGATACGGGGGTGGGGGCTGGGCAGCTGCAGGAGGGGATGTGGTTTGCTGGGTGTTGCAGGAACTTGGCTTTGTTCTGACCGTGGTAGATTTCGGCTGGAGATTGCAGAGAAACCACCTGATGGGGAAGAAAAGGGCCGAGCGCATCACGGGCTTCCTGGGGTTGCAGCCCCCGGCGCAGTTCCTCATTCCGCTCGCACTCGGGCCTCAGGCTCGGTGCAGTTCAGCACCAGGATGTTGGTGGCAGCGCTGAGGGGCCCCCACTGCCCCTTCATGGCATCTGCTCTCACCGTCCTCCTCCTCGGTGAGTATCGGAGACAGCCAGGGTGTGTGTCCATGCGGGGGGCGGGGAGGGGCATGAGACAGGGTATGGGATCCAGGTGCTCTGGGATCTGGTCACTAACGACCATCTCCTCTCCAGGCTGCTGGCTGGCCGGACAGAGTGGGGTGTGGGGAGGTGAGTATCAGTCTGTGGGGAGGACGGTAACATCAGGGATGGGGGAGGGGATACGTGGGGTGGGGAAAAGAGGAACTGAGCCCTGAACCTTCCCCAAAACTCAACCCAAACTCCCCCTGTGAGCTCAGACCCATCCCCATTCTTCTGTGCTCCCCACCCCCAATGGAGTAACTAGGAGCCGAATCTGGCTCCCAGGGTCTGAGGAAGCAAATGGGAACATTCCCCTGGTTCAATGTCCTGCCCCCCCACAGGCTGTGAGGATCGGGGGGGCAGCACGTGGATTTATTTCAGCTCATACAAACGCTAACAGGACCTGTCCGTGGGCTCTAGATCCCCTCGGGGAACCGAAACATTCACGGTCAGTGCAGCCATGGGGGAGAACCCCCCAGATCCACCCCTGCCCCCAGATCCATCCCAACAACTCCCTCCCCTGCACTCACAGCCGCCCCCCCCCCCAGTTCCCAAGACATGTGAAAAGGCCTGGGGAAAGGTGGGTCTTGTGCGATTCCCACCGGTCACAGACTCTATTTCCAACCACAGGGCAGGGGGCAGAGCTGCTGTGGGCCCACTTGTCAAGCTACCTGGCTGGCTTGTGGTGGGGCCGGGGAGGGGGGACGGGCGGGGCAGGTGATCTCTGATGCAGCTGGATCTTGAGCGACGTCTGGGTGAACCCCCTGCCCCCAAACCCATGGGCCGCAGTGTCAGCCCTGGTAGGGGACAGACTCCTAGAGAGGCCGAATGACGGATGGACTGAATTGGGGTGGGGGGGGAGATGGGGGCTGTGTCTCCCCTGTTTAACTCCTGTCTCTCCTTGAAAGCAGGGCGTGAATTTCTCAAACCCACCGTCTCGGTGAGCCCCAGCAGGGTGGTGGCGCTCGGGGGAAGCGTCACCATCCGCTGTGCGGGTTGGTACCCGGGCATGGAGTTCTTTCTGCGTAAAGCTGGACACCTGAACCCGCAGGTGCGGTCGGTGCCTGATGGGACCGTGGCTGAATTTCCCATCCCCAGTGTCGGCCGGGAAGATGGAGGGAGCTACACCTGCGACTATCGCTCCATAACGGATCAGAATATCACATCGCAACTCAGCGACCCCGTTGAGATCATTGTAGGAGGTGAGGGAGGGGCCCGGCTCAGCATCCTGGCTCCCAGCCCCACACCCAGCCAGATCCCCATGGGGTCACTGCACCGATGGGACGCTCAAAGCCAGGCTCTGCCCTGATCCCTGGGTCCAGCAGAGGGGATGCCTGGCCAGGGAGCGGGGACGAAGTCACTGGGGGGTTCCCCAGCCAGGGGGAAGAAGCAGCAACTGGAGATTTGGGGCAGAGAAAGGGGGGACCCATACTGCCAGGGGGAGCTCCAGAGCAGGGGGGGCCTTTCCCAGGCAACACATTAGTTAGGGGGTGATGGGCGGAGCTGAAGGTTATAAACCTCAGTGTATAGTAGAGACTTGCACAGTCCCCTACAAGTCAGGGGTGGTGCTGTGCACAGAACCCAGGAGTCCTGGCCCCCATCCTCCCTGCTCTCCAGCTAGACCCCACTCCCTTCCCAGCAGAGAAGCCAGGGAGTGAATGGACCCTGGAGATTGGACTGGCCTGTCACGCGCTAGGGAGCAGAGCTCTGGGACCCAAGGGGCTGGGGTTGCTCCGTGTCTCATGCTGTTAGCCCAGGGCTCAGAGGAAACTCTGGCCCCTGTGGAAAGGCATCCAGGAGCCCATCCCCAGTGCCGCCGGGTCTGACCCACCACTGATGATGGGCCCCAGGACTGAGTGACGGGGCCTGCGTCTCACGGCCTGTCTGCTTCCCACTGCAGAGCCCAGCTACCCCAAACCCAGCATCTCCCTGAGCCCCAGCAGGGGGGTCTCCCTGGGGGGAGCCGTGAGCATCTGGTGTCGGGGGCAGCGCTGGGGCGTGCGGTTCATGCTGAATAAAGAGGGACACCATTTCCCACCTGTGGATTCAGACGACAATGAGGCTGTGTTTCCCATCAGCAACGTGAGCCGGGAGGACGGTGGGAGCTACAGCTGCTCCTATCACAGCAGATCGGAGCCGTTCACCGTGTCGTACCCCAGCGACCCCATGGAGCTGGTGGTAAGAGGTGAGGGGCCCGGCTCGGCGTCCCCGTTCCCAGCTCCACCCCCAGCCAGACCCTCACGGGGTCTCGATGCCAATGGGACGCTCAGAGCCAGGCTCTGCCCTGAGCCCTGACCCTGCAGAGGGGACGCCTGGCTGGGGAGTGGGGATGGGGTCATTGGGGGGCTCCCCAGTGGGGGGGAGCAGCAGCCACTGGAGCTTCAGGGCAGACGGAGGGGGCTCTCTTCCCCAGGGGGAGCTGCAGAGAAGGGACTTTTTCCCAGGGGGATACTCCGCCAGGTTGCTCCCATTCCTGGGATCCATAGAGGAGTTGGGGTTTGGGGGGGGGCAATTGCTATGGAAACAGGTTGTTGTGCCCAGGGGTGGGCGGGGCTCGGACATCAGAGGGAAGGGCAGCCCCGGACCCCCAGCTTCTCCAATGCCTCCTGCACTGAAGGTCACTGCCTGGAATTTGCTGGAGGATCCCAGGGAAGGGACAGGATCTGGGGGGCTGGGCTGTGAAATTGGGCCCAGCTGGGTGTCAGTGTCCTTGGGCAATAACCCCCACTCTTGGGCCACGACACCCTCCTGGCCTCAGAGCTGCAGCACCTGGGAGACCACAGACTGGGCCAGACCTGCCGGACCACGGATTGGGGGCTCCGGTCCCAGGGCAGCGCCAGCTGCTGATCTCCAAGTGACTCTTCCCTTCCCCCCACAGCAGCCTCCCCGGATTTCAACAAAACCAACGTCGCCCGCCTGGGGCTGAGCGCCGTGGTTGTGCTCGTCCTGGGGCTGATCCTGGCTGAGGCCTATTACAGCCGCCCAAGGGGAGCACCCTAGGTGAGGTGACCCCCCCCTTCTGTGCCCCTTGCTCCCCACAGGGGCTGGGCCCAGGGTGACAGGGATCCCTCTAAAGTGCCATCTCTCTGCACTCCCAGGTGCCTGGATCCGGCTGTGCAGGGAAGAGAATCTCCCTGGGGGACGAGCTGCTTTACCGTGGGGTGCTGAGACGCCGGCACAAACCCCCTGCCATCAAACACCCCTGCCTCAGAGAATCCCCCCACCAAACAGCTCCCGACCTGACAGCGGCACCCCAGGATTGAACCCCCAATGCCGTGTGTGACGTTGCACTCCATATGTTTATGGAAATACATTATATTTACACTCATAAGCATAACTGGAATATGCTTTATGCAAAAGGTCTCTTGTAAGTGTAACTTCAGCGCCCTCGTGGCCAAGATGGAGTCTGCTCTGCAGGGAGCTCTGGCCAAGAGAAGGCGCGCGCAGGAATGCAGCAGGAGAAATTCCTTCCACCCCAGGGGCACCTGTTCCAAACCCCCCAGAGTGAACACACACCCACAGGAAAAGTACAGTGGATATAACAAGGGAAATATTTATTTACAGAGGGATGAGAGGAGAAAAACAACACGGGGAAATAGAGGGGAAGCAGTAGAACAGGGCTGCATCCAAGCCAAGGCCCCACAGGCCCAGTGGTAGCACAGTCTGGAAGGGCAGACACTGAGCCATGTGTCTGCACACAGAGTTCAGGAGTCCTGAGCAAAGTTCCAGTCCAATGGTGAGTCTTGGGTGCTCCTGGTCGTCTTCAGCACCAGTGAACCTTCCCCCAACAAACCTTCCGGTGCCCTCTTCTGTCGCTCTCTGCAAAGCCACACAGAGCGACCACTTCCCCCCTTAACTAGCTAGCAATCTCCCTCCTTGTCCCCAATGCAGAGTCACAAGCCCCAGTCCTCCCAGCCCCATGCAGCTCTGGGCAGCATTGATACTGGGTCCAGATCCGGCCTGTCCTTCTCGGGCGAGTCCTCCCTGGCACAGAGCTCCTCCTGGCTCCTGTCCTGGGGTGTCCCCGATCGGCCCTGTCCTTCCCAGGCTTCAGGCAGGTTCTCTGCTGCTTCACTTTCCCAGGGCCTGCAGGCTGCCTCTCCCTCTCCCTGGAGCTCCAGCGCTGCCCCCTGGAGTTTCCCTCCTTTTTTATTACTCTCCCTCTCCTCTTTAGGAAAAATATTTAAAGGGCCATGCTCTCTAAACCCCAAAGGGGTTACATAAGGTATCATTACAAAGCTTATAATCTACTGAGTGTGATCATCCTATTTGTATGAATGTATCATTCTTCTATCTAAATCTAGAAATATAAAACTAACTCTGAGGGCCTATGGTAATTATGCAAAGTGTGGGCCATTAATGGTGGTTTAGAATTTGATTGCACCCATTGACTAGGTAATTGGCTGTAGATGGTTTATTTACTTGCAAGCCTTCTTGTGGACTTGGAGGCCAGCCTGTGGTTAATGAAGAATGAGGTCGTACAGTGACATGTGACCATGTCACCTGATACTGGAATACATCTTAAACCTACAAAGAATCCTGTGGCACCTTATAGACTAACAGACATATTGGAGCATAAGCTTTCGTGGGTGAATACCCACTTCGTCAGATGAATGACAAAGGTGCCACAGGACTCTTTGTCTCTTTTTACAGATCCAGACTAACAGGGCTACCACTCTGATCTTAAATGTGGTGCTTTACCATTTAGAGGGAGGGGTGGGAACCCAGAGAGACAAAGGATTCCAGCCTTGGGGTGGAACAGAACAAAGGGGGCTGCCAGTCATGAGGAATCCCCTAGTTACTACCTGAGCTGGAAGTAACAAGAACTGTACCAGAGAAAGGATTGGGCCCAGACTAGGAAGGAGTCTAGTCTCTGAAAGAAGCTCATTGGAACATTTCTAAGCGTGAGATTTACCTGTATTCCGTTTCTTTAATTTATTAGGCTTAGACTTGCGTGTTTTGTTTTGTTTTGCTTGGTAACTTACTTTGTTCTGTCTGTTATTACTTGAAACCACTGAAATCCCATTTTTTATACTTAATAAAATCACTTTTGTTTATTAATTAACCCAGAGTAAATGATTAATACCTGGGGGAGCAAACAGCTGTGCAAATCTCTCTATCAGTGTTATAGAGGGCAGACAATTTATGAGTTTACCCTGTATAAGCTTTATACAGAGGAAAATGGGTTCATTTGGGGTTTGGATCCCATTGGGAGCTGGGTGTCTCGGTGCTAGAGAGAGGAAACCTGCAGAGCAGGTTTTGGTTAAAGTCTGCAGCTTTGGAGGCTTGGACCACACCTGGGTCTGTGTTGCAGCAGGCTGGCGTCTCTGGCTCAACAAGGCAGGGTTCTGAAGTCTCAAGCTGGTAGTGGAAAATGGGCTCAGAGGTAATTCCAGCACATCAGGTGACAGTCCCAAGGGGGTCTTTGGGACTGAACCCGTCACAATCAGACTTTAACAGCAGCCGCGGTGACGCCACCTCCAGCCCTGCTCCGCTGGTTCCTCTGCACCCCCCAGGACAGTCGCTAGCATCTCTGGGGTCAGTGGGGAGACGCCCAAACCCAGGGGATTTTCTAGCTAGAGACGCGCTCCAGCAAACGGGGCCGGGACTGGAACAAACCCCTCGTTTCACATGGTGCCTGCCACGGCTCCCCTGGTTCCTGCTCTGCTGTGTCTGTAACAGCCAGTCCCAGGGGTCAATGGGGTGTTTGCCATGGGGCTGAGCAGGCTGCAGGCTCTGGACCCCGCCCCCAGCCCATGTTTAACCCTGTTCAGTGTGGGGCAGGGACTGGGGAGTGTTCGCACCTTGGGCCCTTTATTGCGTCTCCACGGACAGAACAAGGTGCACTGGGCATTCCCGTGGTGGGCATTTGAAGGGAGGTGGATGGGGGGAGTGCAGAGTTTGGGGGAAGTAGGTTGGGGGTGCCAGGGTGGGGGCTGAGGGAACAGGGGCCGGATTGGAGAAAGGAGTTTGAGTGCAGATATGCTTCCCAAGAAAAATCAGAGCTGGGGGGTAGGATTTTTTGGGGGTGTGAGTGGGGAGAGGCTGATGGTACCCTCCCAGGAGGGAGCTGCGATTTCTATGCCTTAGCGGGTTTCTCTCTCACTTCCCCACTCCTACTCCTGCCCCCTCAGTCCTGGGTGACCCACTTTCTTTCCCCTCAGTCTCCTGCCCCCTACATTCCCCTCTGCCCCACATTCCCTGCCCCATAATGGCCCCCCATACCTCCCCTTCCCCTCCCATTTCCCTCTAGGGGCTCCTGCCCCACCCACATTTCCAGACACCCCAATACCCTTTCCTTACCCCCTTCTCTGCTCCCCACACTTTGCCATGTAGCCCTCCCACCCTCAGTGGGTCTGAGCTGGGAGTGGGGGGCAGGATTGTTTCCAGCCAAAACCCCCATGGAGCTGGGAGGCAGGAGGGAGAGGGGACAGGAGTGCCCCCATGGCCACAGGGCAAGTTAAGCCTGGAACACACATGGTGGGACCCCAAATCCCCCCTCCTCTGTCACTGTCCTGCCCCAGCCTCCTCAATCTCAGCCCCCTTCCCCTCCTCCCACATTCTTCTTTCCTCCCTCCCCCGCCTCACACACTGCCTGGCCTATAATGGCTCCCACATCCCCTCAGCCTCCCCCTGACATGGATAGGTATGGCAAGAAATGGGGTGTTTGGGGTATTATGCTTATAAGAAGAACAGGAGTACTTGTGGCACCTTAGAGACTAACAAATTTATTAGAGCATAAGCTTTCGTAGACTACAGCCCACTTCTTCGGATGCATATAGAATGGAACATATATTGAGGAGATATATATA